GAAGATGAAGCAGAAGCAAGCAACAGTATTGTACGAGGACAACGCGGGTGCCGTAGCGTTCGCAAAGGGTAGCAAAATCACGCCCCGCACGAAGCACATCGACGTGAAGTTCCACCACGTCCGGCACCTAGAGGACCAAAACGTGGTAGATGTAACTTACATCGACACCAACAGGCAGAGGGCAGACATATTGACCAAAAGTTCGGGAGCTGTGAAGTTCCTGCAGAACCGCCTTATTTTGCTTGGAGTGTGAGTACCTCCCCTTACCGAAATCAGACCATATGTCTTAAAAGGGTTGGACGGTACATGGAATTCGCTGCCCAGAAAACTCTGGCAGTTAGTGATGAGTATTCAATTTGAATTGTTCGAGAGCATGCATTCATGTTGATAGCATTTGTCGAGAGGACACTGGTATTTGTTTCGAGAGGACACTGAGAGAAAGAATTTTGTGTCTTATGTATCAGAGCTAGTCATGACGTAGTTCTTGAGAGGACATGTTGGGATTTGTATGCAAGAACTGACTCTATTCTACTGCATGGGTTTTGTGCAGTATTGTGAAGGCGTGTCTCCAAGTCTGTAACCGTCAGGTGAAGACAGCTTGGGCGCCTGTGTTTTGGATCTAATGATCACTCTGTGTTGTATCTACCCAAACTGCGCCACCACTGCCAACTACACAACAAACAGCAACTACAATTCTGTTGTCACATGATACATGTCTCACGATATCCTATCATACAACCGTCATGGTTCGTCGCAATACCGACAAGTACACCTCATACCACTTCGATGACGAGCAGGTTCGAAGGGTGAAAAATAGCTTCATCGCAGACTGGAGTCCTGGCGGCTATCGGGACGTGAAAGTGAACGTCGTGGTGAATGAGCACATATGTGAGATTCAACTGCACCTCAGCGAATTTCACAGCTTCACGGCCGGTCAACACGCGGTCTATGAGTGGGCACGGGACCTTGATGTCACCGCAGAAATTCAACCCGAGTATTTGTTCGTGAAGCTGTCCGGCGAGGTGATACTGGAGATGGTTAACCTGGCATCGGCTGACTGGAACGGAACTGGACACGCTTTGCCGTACTTGTACATGACCGCCGGATTATATCGTCAAGCCGAGGTTATTTTCCGGAAGGTAATGTGGAGTACTGTACGCCGCGTGATGCACATACTCACCAAACTTTGCCCACAACGCGACGTGGGCGTTTTTGGGGTCGAAAGACTGTGACGCCATCACTATCCTTGTTTCGTTCACGTGTGTGCTGCTTTTTAAATACCCCGTCAGGAGCTTTCAAAGGTCGAAGCAGTGGCACAGCTAGCACGAGGCCGTGTAGACGACAGCAGCCTTGGGTGGCATTGGGTGGTGCTTGCTGAGTGCGTCATGAGGAACAACCTCATCACGGTTTTCCTGAAACAGGTGATGCAACACATGTCTGGAGCCGTCAGCTGTGCTGCGGAACGATTCGAGGGCGTTGTTGCAAATAGCGGGGTATGTGTTTCCCGCGGCGTTTGGCGCCAACCATACATTGACTTTTTGCTGCGAAGGCACCGGGAAAGCGAGCGTGAAAAATCGAGAGGAGCATGAGGTGGACTTCCATTCCGCATTGTACCTTACATCATCTGCGACGTTTGGCTTCGCGCACGGGCAGCAAAATGCGCACCCGGGTGGAGCCCTCTCTCCTGTAGGTCGTTTGAACGACCGGCGAGCGAGGTCGCCTTCGTTGCTAGTTCTGTTTAAAGAGTCATGCGACCTCCAGCATTTTGAAGGACACAGCTTCTGCCCACGTGGATATTCCACGAGTATCGGACAGACTGCCCTGCTGGAACTGTGGTTGTTCGCTTTTCTCCATGCAGACGAGGATTCCGCAGGAAGCATCTCTCAACAAAAATTTGACATGTTCTCGAAGAACGTTGCACGTGTTTCGAAACTTGCGATAACCTCGCTCACACCTCTCGACGCGCCAGGGCAACACCTCGGAAGCAGAGCAGTGGTCCGCGACGACGCTGGACTATGTCCAGTCAACCTTGGGCCGCGGACACCCCGTCGCTGCAACAGTGTTGCACAATCAGGCACGAATCTTGCAGTCGCAGGTGAGCTATTGAATAGGTACTCCTACACCGATAGCATCTCCATTCTCCTCCAGTTAGAGGTTCAGAGTGCGACGGACTGCACGGCTTGCGACACTATTGATCGCAGTGGAACCTTGCCAATTGTATTGGATATTGCTTGAACTATCGAAACGTTTCGTACATGTGATGCAGAAGAGGTTCGTCGAGGCCGCGCCACTCTACGAGGAATCGCACGCCATTCAAGTGAAGGCTCTTGGACCAAAGCATCCAGTTGTTGCTGAGTCACTCTCACAGTGGGCGTCGCTCCTGTCACAACAGGTAATGCTATTCGATAAAGGCTGACCATTTGACTACTTGCAAAGTCATCGGCTACGAGCCGAGAGTGTATCTTTTATTCGATAAAGGCTGACCATTTGACTACTTGCACAGTCATCGATGACTGTGCAAGTAGTCAAATGGTCAGCCTTTATCGAATAAATGCTTCCCTGCATGCTCTCCATTTCTGTTTTTCTGTGAACCTGGTGTTGGGTGTCCGGCTCAAGGCTGATGCCCACATCGTATTGCGCAGGGGAACCACGATAGGGCCGAGCGGCTCGCTGCGGATTCGTACGCGATTCGGAAGAACGCCCTAGGCCCGGGGCATTTGGATGTCGGCGAGTCGCTCTGCAACTGGGCGGTTATGTTGAAGCGCAAGGTAAGCTTGTGTACAGCTCAGCCTATCAGAATAATGGCCAGGGCAGCCCATCGAAAGTTTCCTGTGAAAGCACTCATCAGCAGTTCCACACTCGACTTTTTATCAAGGGAGAGAGCCACATGCCGGTTATGTTGAAGCGCAAGGTAAGCTTGTGTACAGCTCAACCTATCAGAATAATGGCCAGGGCAGCCCATCGAAAGTTTCCTGTGAAGGCACTCATCAGCAGTTCCACACTCGACTTTTTATCAAGGGAGAGAGCCACATGCCGTGTTCTTCCAAGCAGCAGCGTCAATCGCGATTGACATTCGGTCGGCGCGAGTACAGCACTAGTTTTTCGTATTTGTCGAACACTTCATCAAGGCATCTTAGGGTCAGGCCGTACGCACATCACAATGCCTGCATGTTTGCAACAGCGGGACTTCTCGGGAGCACAGAGGAAGAACGAGATGGCTCAACAAATTTTCGAGGACACTCTGGGAAGGAGTCATCCCCGTGTGGCAATTGTTATCAACAATCGGGCGTCCCTGCTTTGCGCACAGGTACCAACGCGAAGTTAGGGCCCGAAACATCGCGTAGAATGCACCACGTACCAGAGGTGATGGGTGCGAGTTATTTCGTTATTTCCGAAACAAAGATAATCGCCCACGTTGGCCGGTGAGGATCCATTGCTCCACCACCAAATATTGGTGAAGAACTTTGGATGATTCATCTTGGCCTTACCTGGTGCTGTTTTGCCGACGCCACCAACAGAACAGGAGCGAGCATTGTCACATACTCCAATACTGAACAAAGGATAACACGGGAAATTCTGTGTTTCGAGCATGTGAGCCCCAGCAACATATTCTATTAATATGTGCCTGGCGACACGCACTAAAAACTTAAATACGTGAAGAATGTCAGGGCAAATTTTTTACCGTCACACGCCATGTGTAAAGAAGATACGCTTTTGCCAGCGATTTTGTGGAGCAGTCAACAAAACGTCTCGATTGCCCACGCTGGAAGGCGTTGAAATGTCTTAGACCATCATATTGCGCTACCAGCTCAGGCATACAATAGTGCTTTACAGCCCAACCGGTTCACTGAGCACCAATCTTTGTCACTGCGCAGAGGGCCAACTCGAGGCAGCATGGGCATCCCACGTTGCCGCCTTAGCTTCGAGTATTGTGTGCTATTGGACCTGTATTGGTGCTTCGCCTTGCGTTGTTGCTTTTGGATATTTCAGATCCTAAAACCTGACCCTCGACCACCCCCCAGGGCAAGCACGCCGACGCCCTTCCCCTCCTGGAGGAGGCCATGGCCATTAGAAAGCAGGCACTGGATCCACGTGATCCAGATTTGGCCCGAACCCAGAGAGACATCGACTATGTGCAAAATATCGTCAATCAGCCAAGAGGTAAAATGTTGTTCGTAACATGCCCAAAACGGCTCGTAACCAATTGGCATTTGAGAAGGGATTGTTGGGCTTCTTTCTTGTGTGGCTGGCGGGAGACGGAATCACAAACCGGGAACACAAAACAGGGGTTTGACCTGAAATGCCCTGCTGCGAAACACACAAAAACTCTGTTGACAACCTGGTTGCTGGTGATTTTCAACATGGCATCGCAACGTGAGCAGACTTTTGCGTGATGCACGGTTAATGTGGTAATGAAAACGCTTTTTGGTGTCAGGTGGGACTTGTTGAGCGCGTAAGGAATCGAAGGCCAAGGGCGAAGCAGGGACATCGACTTGGATGGGTCTACGTCACCAGACCGTTTCGGTGCCAGACGATGCTGAACGAGCTTACCGTGACGATGTGGTCCTTTCATTGTATGTTGCAGTGAAATCGTGCATGCGTAATTTTCTCGAGGCATGCACGAGCACTGCGGATCTATCACCAGGCGATATCGTTGGCAGCGAAGGCCTCTGCTGGTCTAAATCGTCGTGGCGAAACAATTCTTACCTTGGAATTCTTTGTCAATACGAAAGACGTGAGCGGGATACAATAAACAACGAAGTCTATCGCAATTTGGCAGACAGAAATGACAACATGGACGGAAGAGTGCAATGGAAGGGACGTAAAGAATGCATGAGCGGGAGAAACATGGCCGGTATTCCTGTCAAATACTTCAGTCCGGCACNGTAAAGAATGCATGAGCGGGAGAAACATGGCCGGTATTCCTGTCAAATACAGTCCGGCACATGCCTTGCTAGACGTCCTGCCATCTCCCTCCTGCTCTCCTCCGGCCGCATTTGATGGTTTTCCCCGGAATGGCCGTTGCGGCTGCTCGTTGAATTCACTAGGGTAGGGTCACGGAAATAGAAACGTACGGAAAAACGTACGGTATCGGTGATGGCGGGGGGTGAACCTCGTGTGTCCGTAGGGAGTGAGGTACACCAAGGCATTTTTGCGCCATTATTAAATCGGGCGTGAGAATTAGCATGCTCACCACCTAGGCGATGACAGCTTGGTCCCGGGGCAGATCAGGGCAAGGGCATTACCTTCGATAAAGTAGGTCACCGCGCACAAACGTTTTTCGTCGCGCGTCTGTGTGCAAACTCAACTTCTTGGGCGCAGCGCGGGGCTATTGGAGAGCCAGCGCCAAGAGTGGTGCCTTCTTGAATTTTCCCATGGAAAGATTATCTGGCCGCTATGGGGAAAGCGGTGGTAGGCCTGCACCGAACGTGTTTCATGAATATTTCCATCACGATCCTTGCGCTACAGTTCTGCCAAATGCCCTGGGCTTACATGCGGACGCATGATTCCCGCCACCATGACCGCCACTCTCGCCTGAGGGACATTCAACGCGTCAGGCACCCACGACTCTACTACCCTCTCCTGCGCCGGAAAAACAGCACCATCGTCGAAACCATCACTGTCACAATCGCCGCCCCAGCCGCTGCAACTGCCTTCCTTTTCTTCGCGTCACCACTGTCGCCCGCGTCTCCGCCTCTTGCTCCCTGACCCGGGAAATCCCTCAAAAAAGCGGCTGCGCCGCTGGCAGCCGCTGCTGTTGCTGTTGCCGCGCCGCCGGCGGTACCGAAGTTGACGTCGCTGCTGGTGCGCGACATCATGCTGAGGGAGGCCAAGGACGTTGATCGCTTGGGGGTGCGCCGGCCCTCGTCTGCGAATCCACGATGGGCAAGGCACAAAGATAGCGGCAGAGCCAGGCAGCGGCAATGACGATGTATTGAAGTAGCCGCCTACGAGCAAGCGCTAGGTACCGCCGCAGCAAGCCGAACACCCGCAAAGATTGCAACTCATTCCACCTTTCACATCCGGTCTCGTTTTGAAGCACACCTAGCGCCTTAACCGAAAATATTTGCGTCTAACTGGTGAACACCTAATTCTAACGCACAATTCTCGCTACATCCCTGTCAAAATCTTTCGTGCGGCTCTGGATCAATTATCTTCAGTTGACCAAAGGGGATCACATGCAACACGACGGAGCAGCGGCAGCACAGGAACATTCACGACCATAGTTGGAACAACGGATCCAAGTCGCCGAACCCCCGCCGCCGCTTCCACTCGTACCGTCTCTCACCTAGTTCCACCATCATGTCTTTGGCCACCATTGATCGGCAAATGGGGTGGTAGAAAGATGCTCGTTCCTTGAACGTGTTGACGGCCGTCACCCTGGTTTCCCCATCTAACGCGAAAAGCTCTCGGTACAGAGGCCGTGTGAACTTCATGCGCCCCTGCCGAAACGTGCCATCCAACGCGAAGAACAACGAACGCACGAGCACCAAATACATGGAGTAAGGCGGCAAGACGAGGAAGAGCTGGTTGGGTCTTGTTCAAATCCTCGGGCCTTCTGCACCTCTTCGCCCCAACGATAGTACGTGCACACGTCGAATGCAACCTCATCCTAACGATGTGCCGCGCGTGGCGTGGCTGGCACTCCTCCTGCACAACACGACTGCCGATGGCAAGTCCGTTGCCGGGCCTCCGTTCTCACCCCCCCCTGCTGTTCTCTCACCATCGACGTGACGAAGTCCAAGACATGGGGGACGATGAAGAAGGCCTTCGCTCTCAGGCACAGCTTGTGCCAGCAGAAGCGGACCTCCGAGTTGCCCGTCTTGGTCAGGCCATACGCCTGGTCCATTGCCTGTTTACCGTGGGCACACCACCGAAACCGCGAACGCAGTATATGTTCGTGAAGTTTGATAGAGGTGGCTACAAATTCACCAGCCGGTCACACTGGCTGAAGCCAAAACAAGCGACACACAACTAGACCGCACACATGACGATAGCTCATTGACGAAGTCTACCCCACACCCTGCAAACAGGGAATCAACCGTTTCATCAGGCAAAAACGAATCGCTGCCGTTGCCCAATAACCTCTGCATCTCATCCATGGCGTACTCGTTTGACGCTCGTGATATCGTGCACGCATTTCCTGCTTGGCTGACTACAAAAAGGTCTGCCGTTTCAGCCACAAACGGCAACGAAGACTCAATCCTGAACCAAGGGCAAGTGGGAAGCTTCCACCCTCCACTCTGCCATGGCGTAAGGGAACGAAAAAAAGGTCAGGTACTGATGAGAACGATACTACGACAGGCTACGGACCTGAATGAGAGGTAGTGGGAAAGAAACCGTTGGCGCTCCTTCTCTTTCCGATGACAGGTCCACCAACCTCTGCAGGAAGGTCACCTGAGGATCGAATCCAAACGCAATGAGCCCGCGAAAAGCGTTTTGGTGGAACAATTTGCAGGTAGAAGCTATTGATACGGGCGAAACGTCGCATGCCCTCCACAACGCTTCTGGTGCAAATCTGCAACTTCAGTCAAGGCAAAACGCAACACGAACTTCGGCTTCACTTGTTTCGCCGTCGAGCGAAGGTTGATGAGCCCTTTCTACAAGAGAAACATTGCTTGTATTCAACGCACGGCGCCAGACGAAACAAGGCCATCAACACCATACCCGGCTGCGGGGCGGGTGGTATGCATCCAATCAACTTCAATCGCGAGGGAACCGGAAGCAGATGCTCGGAGACAGAATAGAATGTTTCAAGTGACCCGATACGACCGGATGAATTCCACAGTCAACCAGTACCGGCAAGCTACTGCAACAAACGTGGACGCATGTTCGGCACGAAAGACAAGCACGTACACTTGCACGCCAAGCACAAAAACGGGTTCATACAACGCAGCTATCGATGCCCGTGTCCGAGCATCAAACACAGCCGCATCTGAACGACACGGCACGTACAGATTAGCGCACCAGCACAGCAAAAAAAAAAAAAACACCAAAAGCTACGGTCTGCCACGCGTGGCTGTTCGAAAACAACACCAGACGTGAAATAATGTCACGAGCGCTCGCAGGAGAGCACTCGACAAGCAGGGTACTCCCGCGCGACGCAGATCCAACAAGCAGACGAGCAGAATGGGGAGGATGTCCCGCATCCCAAATGGCGGACAGATGTCCTCCCTCCTTAGATCGACTTCATTAAACGTCGGATTGCTCCACAACCAACGGGTCCGTGCAGAACCCCCGGCAAGCCCCCGACGAGATGTTTTCCAAAACCACCATGTTTGGTCTTGGCGCAATCGAGCTTTGAAAATCGGCAAGGCGGGCGCGTGATCTTTCCGCCACGAAACGGTACACACCTTCTGCGGCGAGGTCCACGCCTCGAACTTGGCCGCGTCCGGATTGGCCAGCTCTGACTCCCCGGCTTGAGCCGCCCTCGCCCAGACGTCCGCCAGGCCTTCGCTCTCCTCAGACAGGGTCTTGTTGAACGTTGGCGTTTCCGCCGGCATGCCCGCGTCGTAGAACCTGCTTAGGGATAGCGTGTTGATTAGAAAGTCCTCAGGCAAGGTCAGGGCATCTTAAAAGACCATGCCAACAGACCACTGAAAAACCCCGCCGCCCTGTCCGTGCTCATGAAACGTCAGAGTTTGTTTACCAAACTGGTACATGAAACGGAGTCAGCGGATGCATGTGAGCGGAGCTTAAGAAACTCACGGGTTCCTGGGAAAGCCAAGGAGCACGGTGATTGTAAATTTCGCTGGGTGTTGATGAGTCCATCGTGTGACAGCGGTGCAAATGAACCATATCTCGGTATGTCCAAGCTGTCAACACATGAAAAGGTAAAGGACAAGTGCTGTCGGATGCGTGTGACCCCACCAACGTACCATATACGTCCAAAGCACGTCAATTTGAGGGGTTGCCGCAACAGTAACGGATCGGAATCGACGACAGAAGCACAAACAAAACAAGAAAAGAAGTCGAGTCCCACGACGGAAGTAGCCGGCAAATGCGACAACGAGATCCTAAGCAACACATCGTCAAACACCAAAGCCCAAAACACTGGTTTTACGGCGCTTCGTTCGATACCACCCGCGCAACAACAGTCGACACTCACCAAGCGTCCCAGTCGAAGCCGTCAAGCTGGCTTGTTTTGTCTTGGAACTTTCCGAGAAAGAATGTCTTGAACTCGTCCGAGTCTACAGTACTCCGCCTGGCCGCTCACGGAAGGACAATGGGTGGGTTTGGTATTCATTTTGCGTCCGGAATAGTGTTTTTTTCGCAACAAACAGGTAATGGATGAACAAGAAAATGGCAACGAAAGAATCTACACGAAAATAAATATCGCTGTCTTGTTTGTTTGCCTTTCCAGATGTTTCGCTACGCAAAATGGCAAGGCCGCTCCCGACAAAAGAGAACGAAAGGCCCCAGCCGTAGTATCGATTTTTGTTCACTTGTCGTCTGGCACCGTCAATTCAAACACTTTCGTTTCCCAAGGAGGGAACAACAATTTAAAACTGTTGCCAGCCTCTTTGATGTTTTTTTTTTTGTCTTGTTTTCACTTCAACTCAGCGCTCACAGCACTAGTGCCATTTACTCCAACCCGTGGTCACACAGAAGAGCTCCGCTCTACCCTCCCTTCCTGCGGTACCTTGCCTTCGATTTTTAATTCGAGCAGAGTTGAGCACTCTCTTCCCTTTGTGTACACAAGAACTAGCGCTATTCACTAGGCCAGGAGCGGAAGCGAGAGAAAAAGTCACATTGCAAGAAAAGCTCGCTTACGCCGGGATTCGAACCCCTGACCTGACCTCTACCTGAAAGAAGGCTTCGAGGATGCCAACTAGACCACCGGGGCACTGCCTTCCAAAAAAAACAGTTGTGGCTTCTGCCCGGTACCTTTTCGCCCCCTAACGTTCAATGTGTGTCGTATTACACCACGGCTTCCGAACTCTTTCATGCATTGCTGATGGTCGGAGGCGTGAAACATCAAACAATGCTCAAAGAATGTGCTATCCAACGTTGGGAGTGATGTGTTCTCGAAGGAATTGTTTCTTCATCACAACAAGAACTCACCTGAACTCCTTGATGTATTCCTTGGCGAAGGCGTGGAATTCCTTGACTCCCACCCTCCTTTGGAGCTCGTTGAGCAACGCGAAGCCCTTCTCGTATGGTACCGAGCTGCACAAAAAAAAAAATGTGCAGACAGGGAACACACACCGAGCCCGAGTCGTGAGAGCCTGTCAACACTGAACAACATGAAGACAAGTCACAATCCACAAAGCATAGAGACGTGCTGAAAAACGGCGACGACACAAAAACAACAAAATACGGACCGAATTCAATATTTTTATGACGCCAGAATTCGAAAAGGAAACGCTGTGTTTCGCCATCCCATTCAAATCGCACGACGTGGCGCAAGCAACTGTACACAACAGAAAAACACCAGGGTGCGACCACAAACCAAAGCCGCCACCTCCAGAACCGCCCTGCTGAAAGCAGCAGGAAGAAGAACGTGGTGACGATCTACCTCGTACCGTATCATGACACGTGTCTCCACAAACCCATCGCGGCCCACAACAAAATGAGGGATAAATAATACCATGACACAGCAGTGTATATATACCGCTATACTTTCACCTGAACGCATCGTCCGGGTCCACCCCGTCAAGATCCGGGACAAGCTTCGTCAGGGCCAGGGCGCCGGTGCCCTCGAATAGCGACACGCTGTCTTCAAGGCTATGGTAGCCCTGCATCGCGTCGAAGTCGTAGTAGTCAGCATCTCCAGTGACCT